AATTAATCTCACTATATCTAAAATAAAAATGTCCTAGTGCTTTAGTTTTACAATGTTTTTCTTAGACTGAATAATGATGTGTTACTGTTCATGAAACTGATTCACATTCAGTTTCCTTGGTATACATTTTTCACGCTTAGAAAAAAGTTTTGAAAAAAAGTAGAAAAAAATGTAATTACTGTATACGTTATTCGTGCTCTTAAAAAAAACCTTGTCATAGGCATGTTCCAGTTTCTCCGAGATTACTGGGAATAATACTCCCAAATGGCAGCTGAAAGAGCTGCCGCTAGGACTATAACTTCCACTAATATCTGGCAGAAATGGCACATGCATGTAGAAATGCACAAAATTAAGCCCTGTGCTCAAACTCCCACTACTCCTGGGTGTCAGCAATGGTGACAGTATACATCAGCCCAAAGATAGAACAATAGCCCAAATCCCAAATCCCTTTGCACAGTGTAATAACTGGAGATTTTCAGTGTCACTCCAATGGCCATTAAAGTGTAAGCTCACCTGCCCCGTCACTACAAACTTCTTAGGTGAGTCCTCCACTAACGATTCACCTTGTTGCTTCAATTAGAAGGTAACAAATCTCTAATGAGACAGAGTGGGGTATTTTCATAAACTCTTACACACTTATTAACTCTTATAAAGGTGCACATGGGGTGTGTGACAGCACATTAACTTGGCTGTGCAATACAAAAGCAAATACAAACATACAAAACTAAGCCCTGCGCTCAAACTCCTAGTATTGTAGCAAAGATTACAGTATGCATCAGCCCAAATACACAGAACAAAAGCAATAAAAAGTTAAAAAGTTGCATTTATGTATGTCCACGTCCTAATAAACACCTCTCTACCTGATCGCTACACTACATGCATTTTCCAGTCTCCATAAACAGCTCCACTTACACTATTATAACACTTACACTAACCTTTAACCCTACACTACATAACCTACACTAACATTCACACTAACTCACAACACCTACACTACTGCTAACCCTTAACAGCTATACTACCATAACCCTTTCAGTAAATCCCAACTCCTACACTACCCTAGCAGGGTAGTGTTGTCCTTATAATCCATTGAGCATAAATACATTTGTACCTCATTCATAGTGATGGCAACAAAATATCTCTAGTGAATGGGTGATATGAGGGTTCCAATGACATAGTGTAAAGACCAAATTCATAGGATAACCCTAGATCCCGCATGTTGCAAAGTAAAACCAATGTGTCCATATATATAACTTTTTATAATTCATTTTATAGAACTAGCAATCTAATTTCAGATGGTATCCCTATACTATCGATGAGCTTTATGATTAGTCTCCAGAATGTCCACATCTAATCTCTGGAGGTGGTCTTCCACTGCCTATACCCAAAGCTTTTATTTTGTATTTATACCCTGGCTCCTTCCATAACAAAGTACATTATGGAGTTCAGGGCTATAGAGAAGTACACAGGGATTACTCAAATGGTAGAATCTGTCAAATCCAACTTTGTGTGGATAATTGTACATACAAACTCAGAATTTTATGGTCTGTTATCTAACTAAGGAAGGGTGTGTTAGTAAAAAGGAATTGTTAATTATTCATGAAACATTAAGTAAATACATTAAGTAAATTGACGTCTACATAAACCTCTTTTATAAAATATAACCCCACGGGCTTATACGGATATGTGAAAAAGCAAGATAATGGCTTAAGTTATCTCATTGTAAAAGCACTCTTGAGTATATGATACATGATCATCAAGCCCTCTTGTGTGCCATTAAAAAACAGCAAATATATTGCAAAAAGTGAGTACGGCCTGAGAACCGATAAAAGTGATATTGAGCATAGCAATATCGAGAAAAATCAGAAGGACTGCGGACATCTGGGGAACCTAGGTTAGACTTAAACCTTTCAAAGTATTTTGACTACTTACCATGCAATCATATGTGTACTATAATGGCTATGATACTAAGTGTTCCTGTAAAGTAGTGGCAACAAAAAGTGCATGGCGCTGTCAGAGTAGCTAGTAAACGAGCAAGTCATCAGTGCTGAAGGAAGACAAAGTATGGTCAAGACACAAGCCAGGAGTCCAGAAAAAGGGGTGCGTGTTTTAAACATATAATACAACATATAATACAACAGAAAACACTTCGGAGAGGTATTAAGGAGAAGGAAGGTTGACTTATGAAAGCCATTCCCCAGGTTTGCAACATTGATGCCTTCGACAAATCTTTGTAAATTGTGGCTGCTTTATAAAACTACCACTATGACGGAAGAAATCGAGTGAAATACAGCATCCTGGCTTTTACGTCAATAAACAATGCGAGCACTGAGTAACCATCTCTCCAATATTCTATACAGACGACACCGACAGGTGACAACACTGAAGTTGTGTGACAGAATGTTTAGCTGAGCACTGCAGTCATGCGCACCATGTGTATTAAATAGTCCTACAGTCATTTGTACTGGTATAAATATATTCCAGGCCCAACAGCAAGGTTGTATAGTTTTCAACATAAACACACAGTAACTGTGAGAATATTAAAGGTAATTACAAAGGGAGAAGAATAGCTGGATAAGAAAAATAAACCCAGATAGAGAGCGGTGGACATAGAGGGGAACATAAGGTGCAAATAGGCCAATGAGAGAAAGACTAAGAATATTTTTATCTAAGTAACTACCTACCTACATCCTGGGGATGTTACCCTATAGAGTTCATTGCCACTTAAATCTTGATTCATTTGTGTTGTCTCTGGTCTACACTGACAAGCATCCATAATGAAGCAAGCCTATAT